TGTTTGGTGTGAATTCACTCTCTTAAGCTCATGCCACAGCATTTCAATCGGGTTGAGGTCAGGACTCTGACTGGGCCACTCCAGAAGGCATATTCTGTGCTGTTGCAGCCATTGTTTTGTTGAATTACTTGTATGCTTTGGGTCATTGTCCTGTTGCATCACCCATCCTCTGCGGAACTTCAGTTGGCGGACAGATGGTCGTACGTTTTCCTGCAAAATGTCTTGATAAACTCTGGAATTCATTTTCCCATCAATGACAACAATCCGTCCAGGCCCTGAGGCAGCAAAGCAGCCCCAAACCATGATGCTCCCTCCGCCATGTTTTACAGTGGGGATGAGGTTTTGATGTTGGTGTGCTGTGCCTTTTTTTTCTCCACACATAGTGTTGTGTGTTCTTCCCAAACAACTCAATCTTGGTTTCATCTGTCCACAGTATATTTTGCCAGTAGTGCTGTGGAACATCCAGGTGCTCTTTTGCAAACTTCAAACGTGCTGCAATATTCTTTTTGGACAGCAATGGCTTCCTCCGTGGTGTCCTCCCATGTACTCCATTCTTGTTTAATGTTTTCCTTATTGTAGATGTGTCAACAAAAATGTTAGCATGTGCCAGAGATTTCTGTAGGTTTTTTTAGCTGACACTCTGGGATTCTTCTTTACCTCATGCAGCATTCTGCGCTGTGCTCTAGCAGTCATTTTTACAGGACGACCACGCCTAGGGAGAGTAGCAACAGTGCTAAACTTTCTCCATTTGTAGACAGTCTGTCTTACCGTGGACACATGAACATCAAGGCTTTTGGAGATACTTTTGTAACCCTTTCCAGCTTCATGCAAGTCAACAATTCTTGATCGTAGGTTTTCTGAGAGCTCTTTTCTGCGAGGCATGGTTCACATCAGACAGTGCTTCTTGAAACCAGTAAACCCAAAACAGGTGTGTGTTTTTTAAGGGCAGGACAGCTGTCAGCAACACATCCAATATCATCACACTGATTGGAGTCAAGGTTGGCTCACTCCTGGCTCCAATTAGCTCTGGGAGAAGTCATTAAGAGGAGTGGTCCAAAATTACTCCAGATCTTGTGCAGGTCTGATCTGCAACTACAGGAAACGTTTGGTTGAGGTTATTGCTGCCAAAGGAGGGTCAACCAGTTATTAAGTCCAAAGGTTCACATACTTTTTCCTCCCTGCACTGTGAATATTTACATGTTATGTGCAATTAAACCATGGCAACATCTAATGTTTGTGTGGTATTTTGTTCAGCAGACTGTGTTCTTCTATTGTTGTGACTTAGATGACGTTCAGAGCACATTTTATGCCCAATTCATGCAAAACTCCACGTAATCCCAAGGGGTTCACATACTTTTTCTTGCAACTGTACACTTAAATGTCAGACCATGCTCCAACGAAATGTCCTATTTATGTAAACTGTTCCGAGAACATGGCTCAGTGGCATTTTATGCCTGGATAATCCTTCAGTAATGCATCAATGTAAAAAAAAGGGATCTTAAACTACAGGCATAATAATTTAGATTCAGCCTTACTAAACATAATCTCTAAAACCTGTAAGGTACATATGAAAAAAAAAATGAATATGCAGAGGTTGGCTCCAGGGAAAACCACATGTCAAAACCAGTAGACTCAGAGATGTAGGCAGCTGAATGCTTATATCAGGCTCCACCTTTGTAGGAAACTTCAGACTAACTTTCACCCTTTCCTGACTTCCAAGATTGTCTGTTCATTAGTGATTTTCATCACTTTAAACTAAAAATAGGAAACCGCAGGAGGCGTGGGTGGGATCCTTTGTTTTTTGTGGGCAAAAATTGAGACTTACAAATAACTTTAGTTGTCTACTGTATATATCTGAATCTGCTGACTGGTTTTCTCTGATTGTGACTTAGCTTATTTTAATATCATACACTCAGTTTATGTTTCCCAGGTTTGGGACGGGTTTTCTTTTAGGTCTCTTTTGGATGGGCGGTCAGGGGGTGGTATAAACAGGTGGCTGAGCCGCTTGTCAAATTTGTACATTGAGTTCAATTGAGGTGCACTTCAACAGTGCGGTAGTGTGGCAATATAGGATTAAATCAGGCAGTGAGCTTGTGATATAACGCCTCCTCACCACCTTTCAAATGCCTTCTGAAAAGCTGAATGTTCGCTCTTTAGAGGATACCACACTCCACCACAAGTGTGAAAGAGCCCTAACAGCACCTTTCTTGGTACCTTTTATGAACACTGTACATATGGTAAACAATAATGGTAGGCAAAATGTACACTGTGTATATACTGTGTATTCCCTTTTTTACTTTTTTCAATTTTGTTATGTTGCAGCCTGAAACTGAAATATCACATACGTATTCAGACCCCTTGCAACATTTTTCTTGATAATTGCTGAGATGTTTCTACACCTTGATTGGAGTCCACTTTTGGTAAATTACATTGATTGATTCGACATGATTTGTAAAGGCACACACCTCTCTAATAAAGGCCTCACAGCTAACAATGCACACTGTATCAGAAAAAAAATGAGGTCAAAGGAATTGACTGCAGGGCTCAGGGACAGGATTATTGCAAGGCACATATCTGGGGAAGGCTGCAAAGAGTTTGTGGAGAGCTGCAGTGATAGTTGTCCTTCTGGAACTTTGCCCCATCTCCACACAAGATCTCTGGAGCACAGCTAGAGTGACCATCAGGTTCTTGGTCACCTCTATAAGGCCCTTCTTCCCCGATTGCTCAGTTTGGCCAGGTGACCAGGTCTTGAAAGAGACCTGGTTGTGCCAAATGTTTTCCACTTGATAATTGTGCCATATAGCAAAAAATGGCCTAGCCAGGAATGGGGTAAATCTTCTGGAGCTCAAGTGGTTAATAAATTCACAGACATTTCTACAATTCTGTTTTCGCTTTGTCATTATGGAGTACTGAGTGTTGATTAATGAGAAAAAAAATGAATTTGTACTAATCCAGGATCAGGTTCAACATTACAAAATTGAAACAAGTGAAGGGGGTCTGAATACTTTCTGAATGCACTGTATATACTGATTGTGTATGTTATAGCAACTTGATTGCCCTGACTTATGCCAGCTATATGGAAAATATGAATTAACCCTGGTAAATTGCACACAATGCAGATTTTGATTTGACAACAATAATAACCTTCTGTCAGGAATGGACTCGCCAATAGTGGTGGGACTCACCTGCCTTGTGGGCTGTAGTACCAGGACTGGCCAGCTGGTGCTCTCAGCAACCAGAGGCTCACTCCTGCAGTCAGCCAAAACACCTGAGGCTGATTACGGGAGGTGCATATAAGGAATGGCCAGACTTGCAATCAGGGCCTTGGTGTATGTTTTCCCAAGAGCCCCTGTACCTGCATCCTGTCTGCTTCCTGTCTGATCCTGCTTTATCCCTGACTCTGATTGAACGCCGCCTGTCCTGACCTCTGCTATTCCTGACCACTCTCCAGTCTGCTCCTTTGGTACCTTGCCCACCCGTATGCTACCTACCCGGCCTGCCCAACTACGCTTAGTATTGTTCTTTTGTTATCTTTTGGGGGTTTTGGTTTGGTTCGTTTGCACTGTGTTTATGTTTAGTCTTGCACTGCATTTATGTATTGTTAGTCTTAAATAAATTATATTGTTGATACTATATCTGAAGCCTGTGTTTTCCTGTGTCAGTCCACACACCTCTGGTCATACCCGTATCCCTGACACCTTCTGGTATGACCAGAACTCTTCCTCCTTTCTACTTGTTCTCTCCCTGACTAGCCCTATAGTTTCCCAAATTAAAAGATAACTTAAAGGATAATTTCACCTTATTCAGGATGTAACATGTTGCATAAAAAAGACCCCCAGTTCCTCCCCTACTCCCCAGTTTTGACAGCTAGCAAGGGATCTTCTCCCTCCCGCTAGCTGTCACAATTTTTGAAAAAAAAACAGTATTCTGTGAATGGAAAACTATAAGTCCCAACACCTTTTGCGGCTGTCGGCTTGTAGTTCTCACTGAACTATGATGGTACTGTTGAGCACTGTGGTTATTCATTGATTTTTTTTTTTTTTTTCTGTCGGAGTGTATCTGCTTACCTGTAGGAAGTACGAGCACATAGATACACTGACAGGTCTGCCGGAGTCCTGCATGGCAGCAATCTGCCATTGCAAAACCATTTCACAGAGCATGTAAGCACCAAAAATAAGGTAAAACAATGTGCATTATTTTTGGTTGCACGAGCCTGTAAAGCCTGGCACCCGCGATCAGCAGGTCCCCCACTTTGACAGCTAGCTCCACCCCTGTCCCACTGTTTTTGCGTACAAAGGCAAACACACACATCTGTCCCAAGTGCATATGTAAACGGTGATCGCACCACACATGTGAGCTTTTGCCGCGAATGTCAGAGTGAGAGAAATAATAAAGGCTTTTAAAGCATCGCCTACAGAGATTTTTAAATACCGTAGTTTGGCTCAATTCTAGGAGTGTGCACTCTTTTAAAGCGTGACATATTGGGTATCTGTTTACTCGGTGTAACACCATCTTTTATATTTTAGCAGGAAATTTGTATTGTATTGTGTTTGTGTCCATTAAGAATCATTAAAGTGTATATTTAAAAAAATATGGTTTGAAAAACCGTTGTGCAAATACCGTGTGACATAAAAATTTGCAAAACCCACCTTTTTATTCTCTAGGGCTTCTGCTTAAAAATATATATAATGTTTTGGGATTCTAAGTCATTTTCTAGCAAAAATACAGATTGAATGTCAACCCATATATGCAGATTGGATGCGGTTTGAACTGATTCCAATCCACATGTGAAACATGTGAAATACCATTGTATTCTATGGTGCCTGTTCACATATGTCCGGTGCGTGGCCAGTGCGGATTCAGCGCCGTTTTAAAAAGAGTCCTGTCCGAGTTCTGAGTAGTGGATTCAGGTTCAGGTACGGATTACAGGCTATTTATTGACTTCTATGGGATCTGTTCCTAGACTGCATATGTGTGTGAACAAAATAAGATATATGTGGCCGTGCGGGGCACGAGAGTCTATTCATTTGAATGGACTCTCGTGACACGCAGGGAAGAAGTCCCTGCACTTCTTCCGAAAACGCAGTCCGCACAGGAACCTTGGTTCCCAGTACGGTTGCGTTTTCCAGTACGGGCGGCGTGCCATTAGAAATAATGGCACCCGCCTGTGGGTCTGCATTTCTTTGTGCTGGTGGTGCAGCTGCACGGATTTTCATGCGGATCCGCAGCGGCACCTGTCACGATCGCGGCATCAGACCCCAGACCTTCTCACCAAACTCGTGACTGAAGGACTAGCCAATCTAAAACCGCGATGTGATGTGCGTAACAATGCCACACCCAGCTGCACCCTGCACAATGATTTTCCAGGTAATGGACCACAATCGATGTATCGGCAGCCTGGGCGATTGTTACTGCGTCGGGTTAATTACGCAATTAACACTTCAGACTGCCACCACCTCCCATTTGTACAGAGAAAGAGGAAACTCGGCGTTATCAGCTATTACACTATAATGATGTCCGCAGGCCGGTTATACAGAGGTTTAAACAAGCGGTAGCGTTCTCTTTAGAGGCAGGGATTCGTAAATTGCAATACAGAGCTATAGAAAAAGTTCAACACTTTCAGAAAGAAAGATTTATTACTAAAAGGTCAAACGAACGCAATAAAATATTTACAGAAAAAATATGTAACTAAGATATATATATATATAAGTTATATATATATATATATATATATATATTACAGTTGCAAGAAAAAATGTGAACCCCTTGGGATTACATGGAGTTTTGCATGAACTGGGCATAAAATGTGCTCTGAACGTCATCTAAGTCACAACAATAGAAGAACACAGTCTGCTGAACATAATACACACAAAAGTTAGATGTTGCCATGGTTTACATTGCACATAACATGTAAAACATTCACAGTGCAGGGAGGCAAAAAGTATGTGAGGCCCTAGCTTAATGACTTCTCCCCCTTTGGAGATAATTGGAGCCAGGAGTGAGCCAACCTTTTGTAGACCCAATCAAGAGATGACATTGGATTGTGTTGCTGACAGCTGTCCTGCCCTTAAAAAACACACACCTGTTTTGGGTTTACTGGTTTCAAGAAGCACTGTCTGATGTGAACCATGCCTTGCAGAAAAGAGCTCTCAGAAGACCTACGGTCAAGAATTGTTGACTTGCATGAAGCTGGAAAGGGTTACAAAAGTATCTCCAAAAGCCTTGATGTTCATGTGTCCATGGTAAGACAGACTGTCTACAAATGGAGAAAGTTTAGCACTGTTGCTACTCTCCCTAGGCGTGGTCGTCCTGTAAAAAGACTGCAAGAGCACATCGCAGAATGCTGCATGAGGTAAAGAAGAATCCCAGAGTGTCAGCTAAAGACCTACAGAAATCTCTGGCACATGCTAACATTTTTGCTGACACATCTACAATAAGGAAAACATTAAACAAGAATGGAGTACATGGGAGGACACCACGGAGGAAGCCATTGCTGTCCAAAAAGAATATTGCAGCACGTTTGAAGTCTGCAAAAGAGCACCTGGATGTTCCACAGCACTACTGGCAAAATATACTGTGGACAGATGAAACCAAGATTGAGTTGTTTGGGAAGAACACACAAACACTATGTGTGGAGAAAAAAAGGCACAGCACACCAACATCAAAACCTCATCCCCACTGTAAAACATGGCGAAGGGAGCATCATGGTTTGGGGCTGCTTTGCTGCCTCAGGGCCTGGGCGGATTGTTGTCATTAATGGGAAAATGAATTCCAGAGTTTTTCAAGACATTTTGCAGGAAAACGTACGACCATTTGTCCGCCAACTGAAGCTCCGCAGAGGATGGGTGATGCAACAGGACAATGACCCAAAGCATACAAGTAATTCAACAAAACATATGGCTGCAACAGCACAGAATATGCCTTCTGGAGTGGCCCAGTCAGAGTCCTGACCTCAACCCGATTGAAATGCTGTGGCATGACCTTAAGAGAGCGATTCACACCAGACAAGGTCCCAAGAATATTGCTACACTGAAACAGTTTTGTGAAGAGGAGTGGTCCAAAATTACTCCAGATCATTGTGCAGGTCTGATCTGCAACTACAGGAAACTGTTTGGTTGAGGGTATTGCTGCCAAAGGAGGGTCAACCAGTTATCAAGTCCAAAGGTTCACATATTTTTTCTCCTTGCACTGTGAATGTTTACTGTTATGTGCAATTAAACCATGGCAACATCTAATGTTTGTGTAGTATTATGTTCAGCAGACTGTGTTCTTCTATTGTTGTGACTTAGATGACTTTCAGAGCACATTTTATGCCCAATTCATGCAAAACTCCACGTAATCCCAAGGGGTTCACATACTTTTTCTTGAAACTGTGTATATATATATATATATATATATATATATATATATATATATATATATATAAATATACAAAGAACCATAGCACAGCAAGGAGATATCAGAGAGAGGTGAAAGGGTTAAAGTACTTGCCAAAGTCCTGGGTTAGCAGATCCAAGTTTTAGAGCAGAAGGGTGCTTTGATCTCCCTATGTTACGATGGAAAAAATGGGAGAATTCTTCAACTTCTAATCTTAGGCCTTACAGCCTATTTTGTAGTTCCCAGCAGGGGGTGTTGCTGAAGTCAAAGGACCAATACCCCGTTTGGGAGGGAAGGTCTGGGCGTAGGCCTAAACTAGAGCCAAAATCTTTCATAACTCATATTTTGGCCCATAACTTCCCATCTGCACAAGTGACATTCCACCCGCGGGTAGATTATTATGCAGACAAGTCTGAGGATTGATTAGATATGAATTATGTAATTCCATACTGAACGGTTCGTGAGATCTATTTTTCTGCTTTCCTGTGTATGCTAGACGAGTTACCCATCAAACTGTTCGGCTCCTCCTAGCCAATCTAACGGTATGTCTGATTTTTATGTACGTTTCGCATATTCCAAGATATGAGACATAGGGGAAAAATGGATTTTAAGGAGTGTTATCTGATTCTGTCACCTACGCTGCATTAGGTTCATTAGGTCAGAATCTCTTTCAACTCCTGAGAAAGAAAGAAAGCTTTTCTTATCTCTTCCAAGGTGGGAAATGGCACAGGTTCTTGGGACAGTGAGGCACCTCGTGGCTCCCTGCTGGGATCTGGCCTGTGACACTTTTAACACACTCACATCTGTCACTGTGCCTCTCAGAGTGAGAGGAGGGGAAGAATGAGGGAATAACATGGCTACTCTTAACAAAATGGCAGACTGCGTGAGTCTCTGGTGCGCACATTTGCGACAGCACCACCTGCACAGATGTGAGCCAGGCCTTAGTAGTTAAAGCACACCATATTCTGTAAACTAGAGACTGGGTTAAATATGTACCTGGGAAATCAATTTACCAATTGCTTGCTCAGTGTTATATTTTTTTTTTTTTTTTCAGAAAACCTTTTTTTTTTTTTTTTTTTTTTCAAGTAAATTCTTATGAAAAATTGGTTGCATTTAATACAATACAAACGTTGTTTGTATGACATAACTTTCAACTAAAAAGTTTTTTTTTCTTCATCATTTAAGGATAAGTAAGGTATGTTGCTCGTAATCAAAAGGAAGGTTCTTTCACATAAAATCCAGCATAGTTGCTTTTATCTTCAGCTGTTAGTACTTGCGTTTAAACACCCCTACAGAGGAGTAGCATTGAATATTCTTTGGAAATGATCTGACATTTTAGACATTTGCCATTTGTATTATTTAAAGTGGATGATTTCAGATCTCTCTCGGCATGGCACCTCTAAATTGTCACAGCTAACAAGCTCACTTGAAATGTAACAGCCCTATTATGTTAATGCTGCAACTAAAAAAAAAAATCAACTGCTGTATTGGAAATGACAGATTGGCTGTTATGTCTCCTATCTTTGCTGCTGTAATTGTGTAGATTCTAGGACTTCACAGAAAGCATTGATTGTTTCATTCTATTTTAGATGGAATTCACTGACATCCACACTTTCACTTAATGGGAGCGTTCTACACTTGTATTTGAACACTTTCTAGAAATAAATGTACTGTTATGTGTATAAAACGTATATATTAAGAGGTGGGAGTTAAAAAAAAAAAAAAAAAAAAAAAGTGTGTGTATTCTTAGATATCTTGCCGTACCAATTGTGAATTTCATTGTTTTATGAAGTCTGTGCATTTTTATAACACAGCAACTGAGCTTGTTATAGACTCGCACATTGTGCAGTCTGCATCAAACCTGTTCAGTTACAGCAGATTTAGACTCTAATTGGATGGCATTTATTTTTCTAAAGCATTGTGTATATGCACCTGACTTTTTTTTTTTTTTCTTATAAATTACTTTTTTTGTCCTTTTCCATCTTAGTGTTGATCTGCTCTAGCCTTTTTACAATCACTTCCTGGCTACATGCATACGCTCTGGAAATGGATACCGGCATTGCTCAGGGTGGGCTTCCTAATGGTGACACTGTCAGAACATGTTTGCACAATGACCATTAGCATGACCACTTGTCCATCAGAAATGTATGTGACAGCGTGACAACGTAGGAGAACAACTTGTGCAAAGTGTTTTTGCCTTACAATAGCAAATACCCGAACAAGAACCTTCATGCCATCATAAGGTTTTATTTTGGGGAAAGCTGCAGATTCAGAAATGTTGAAAATTACTTTTGAAGTTACATTAACAAGTAAAAGAATACACGAGATTTTAGTAGTTTTGGTTTATATCTAGTATGGTAATTAGAGATGAGCGAATTATTCAAAAATTCGGTTCGGCTGATTCGCCGAATTCGCCGAATAAATTCGCTT